ATGGACACATTGGGGATTAGGTTTCAACATATGAATTGAGGAGGGGGGCACAGACATTCAGTCTACAGCACCCGGAAAGGGAATTCTGGTGTTTCTCCAGTGGGCACAGCAGAGTCACACCCTGCCTCCCCCCAAGCCTCGGAAGGTGGGAGGCTCCCCAGTTACTGGAAGGGACATCAGACGCTGGGCAACCAGAAAAAAAGAGACATGTCCACATCAACCTCAAATCTAATGTGAGGATAATTAAACAAGAGGCCAGCCTACTCACCTGGCACTCAGCAAATATAAGTCGTCGCATGGCAGCTCAGGTGATGGCGTGAAACATGAATCCATTCCTGAGTCTCCCCGCCTTGAGGATGGCCAGTGGTTTCCGCTGCACCTCAAGTCAATCCAAACTGTGGGAAAGCATGGGGCCAGATCCCTGCACTTCTCCCCCTCATCTCCTTCCCTGCGTCCCCTCCATGCCACACTCTGGGCACACTGGCCTTCTGCCACCAGTGGGTCTGGTTCCTTCATCTGTCAAGACCCCACTGAAAAACCATTTCCTCAGTGTGGCCTCCTCTGTCCTCACGAGGTGAAGTTGCTCCTTTGCTGCCATTCCATTATCCCCCACCTCCGCCTCGATCGCCTGGGTGCATGGTAAGCAGTTGTAAGTGGTGCTCGCTCTTGCAGAAAAGAGGAGTCTGTTTCCTGCCATGCCTCAACAGGAGGAAATAATGGGGGCTACTTTCGGGGGCATAGGTAGGGGATCGTGGTTTGCGCTTCCTGGGGAGCTTGCAGGAGAGAGGCAAGCTGTTTGTCAGTTGAGCAAAAAATAGCAATGCTGATCTGACCCAGGGCATTAGGTCTTAGCCATCATCGGCAGCTGGGCGAGGAATCCCTTGGTCTTAAGCCAGTCTCTCCTTCCTTCCAAGAGAGGGATCCCTCAGCTGTTGGGCAAGTGAATAAGACCAGACCAGAAGAGGACCATGCCTGGCTTAACACAAGGCCCATGGAATCCAGGTCCCTTCAGAAACTCTTCCAAATGTGGATTTATTGTAAATATTTATTTCTTGCAGTTAAAAAGGGGGGCATCTTTAATAGAAGGCAGGAGAAACAAATCTGAGTCAGTAGGATTAGAAGTGGGAAAGAGGGAACAAGGAGGAAGCAACTGCTAAAATTGTTGGGAACAGGGGTGGAATTTGGCTCTGAGCTTCCTGGCAGCTAATGCAAAAAGGGAAACCGGATCAGTTATGGAGCTCTTTTTATTAGCAGAGGACATGCTTGCCAGTTCCATGGGTGAAATGCAGTTGATTTTCAGGTTTTGTGTTTTCCAGGCACTAAATCTTGAATGAAATTTCTCCCTTGAGGGTTTAAGAGGGATCATCAGTTGATGCCATGAACAACATCCCTGTTTTATAGCAAATGTGGAAGTGAATTGCTAGTAATCCAGGGGTTATTTAGCTCGTATCACTGGATGTATATTTTGCAGTATCATTATTATTAGTCGGTAAGAAAGGCCTCAGATTAGCTTTTCTTTCCAAAGAGCTGAGCTTGATTCCCTTAGAGCATCTCAGTGTCCTCACAGGGCCTTGGGAGTAAATCAGTTTGTTAGTACATTTTTTTGCAGGGGGAGTTCATGAAGTACCTGACCTCACACCATAAAGTTCTGATCACTTCCTTTTGTGTGATATTGCCCAAGAGAGAAATTTGAGAAATATTTTACCAACCATTAGGTTGGAAAGCTGCATTATAGAAAAGGACAATGAATCCAAAGTATCCAGAAGTGGAAGACATTGAGCTAGGGAGTCAGGCAGACCTGGCTTTGAATCTTATCCTATCTCTAACTAGCTGTGTGGCCTTGGGAAAATTTCTTAACCTCTCTGAGCATGGTTTCCCTGTCTGGAAAAACAGTGATGATGATATCTGCCTTGGATTATTGAGTCAAATGGTAACGTCCCGAAAGCTTGTGCAGTGTGTTCTATTCGCTTCCATCCCCTTCTCCCCCTCCCCTGCTAGTTTCAGGGAATTCAAGTGGAGCTCCCACCCTGCCCCTACTTCTTTGTTTCGGGCCCAACTCAGCCCACAGAGGGAAGCTGAAGCACAGCCTCACAAGACCTGCCTTGTCCAGACCACTTGTCTGTGGCGATTACCTTCAGACCCTGGAGCCACTTTCTGTCCATACTCGCCCAAAGCACCTGTGCCGACCCCTTGGGTTGCCATGGGTTCCCTTTGGGAGATGGTTCTAGCAACTCTCCCAGCTTTGTTTCAGATTCCTTCCTGTGCCTTGGTCCTGATTATGTGGCTATGGGCCAAGTTCTTGAGGGCAGAATGTGGGACCCCCTGGTCCAAACTCTTTGTGTCTTGCAGGAAGAAACTGGAGCCCACACAGGAAGAGCTACGCCTCAAACCCGGGTCTCTGACCCGTGCAGTCTCTCTGCTCTCCGAGGGTGACACCTGAGGCGCCTGCTCCCCAGCCTGCAGTGCCCGAGGACCCAGTCCCACTCCACAGACGCAGCCCTGGGACCCAGTGTTCCTGGCAAAGGGAAGCCAGACGGGGCCACACAGATGGGGAGATTTAAATAGAAAACTAGCACCACAGGATAAAATTCCCTCTTTGCCTCACTTACCAGCTCAATCCCTTAAAGACCTTTTTTGCTTTTTCCTTTTTGACCACACTCCCTCTTTATCCACCTGGCTTTCTGGCCTCATCTCTAGTTCCTCTGCCCACCCACTCTCTACTCCAGTCACAGCTGACCACATGCCACGCACCCCGGCACTTTACCACGTCTAGGTCCTTGCTTGCGCCGTTGGCCTTCCTGAAAGGCTATCTTACCGCTGATGGGAATTCCAGAACCGCCCCCCGCCCTGCAAGACCCACTTCTGACATCACTTCCTCTGTGCACCCTACTCCTTGAAGGAAGGAATGGCTCCTTCCTCAGTGCTCTTCCCCTGCCTAAGCGCTTGGCCTCCAGTATAATGCTTCGGGCAGTTGGGTGTGCATTAATCACTGAATTATTTTGAGTTTGCTGTGAGTACCTCCATCTCCCCACCCCCCCGCCCCCCGGGGGTGGAGACCTCCTTGAAGGAACCCGCTTAACTATCTGGGTAATCCCCTGTACCCAATACTCTGCCTGGCGTGGAACACGTATACACTCTGGGAACGTTTATATTTGTATTGGTTGTTGTATAATTATGGCATTAGTTACTGTTAACTTGAGCATCTACTATGAGCAGCCTGGTGATGGGCCCTTTAAAGACACTCTCAGGGCCCCTCACTCAGAGCTAGCAGGCGCAAGGCAGGTTATTAATGTGCCTCCCTTGCAGAGGAGGGAACTGAGGCTCAGCGAGGGGAAGTCACTCAAGATCACCCAGCTAGAAACAGACATTGGATGCCAAGAAGCTGTGTTTTTGATGTCAAAGTTAAGGGGGAAAGATGATGTGGTACATAAAGTTTTTTCACCCTCCCTCCTCCCACCGCCCGCAACATCCAGACTCCGAGAGCCATCCAGGACATCCTGGGTCATGACCATGGACGCCCATCTTGGGGCCGGGCTCCCAGCCAGCGGCGAGGTTGACGGGGAACTTTATTCTCTTGGGAGGAGGCCTCCCTAGGGTGGTACCCACCGGAGGCCGCCTGTACCAGCTCTTGTAGGGCTCCGATCGATGGCCATTTTGGGGAGCGGGGTGGGGCGCCCCTCATGGGCTGCGCCCCACCTAGGCGCCTTCGTGGGACCGAATTCCTCCAAACAACCTCCGACTGGGGAGCGGGTGAAGGCGGGAGGTTAGAGCTCGCACAGCTCTAACCCCAGCATAGCATAGCACAGCCTCCCCGGGCAGGAGACCTTGCAGTTCCGCCACAAGCCTTGCAGACAATGCCAAGAGAAAGAGGTTATTTTGGGAATGGTTGTCCTGGTTACGCCATCCCTCGGTGTCCTCTGCCCCATAGCCGCCCCACCGGCTTTGTGGGCGCTGAAGGAAGCCTTTCAGACTTTTCAACACTTTGTCTTTATGAGAATTCCGCCCCACCTTTTCCTGGCTACCTTGTCTCTCTGGGATATTGAATCCCATTCACAGATGGAGAAACTGAGGAACCGAGCAACGGAGCGAGGCTTCAACGTCTTTTCCAAGTCAGCCAGGGACCCGCCTGCCTGATTCTCAGAATCTCAAACCCTGTAACGAATTTCGATTTGAACAGCACGTTCGGTGCCCGACTTGAAACCGCAGCCCCACAGGAACAGTTATCATTTCGAGCGAACCCCCAGGTCCCTTACCCTCAGCTTGCCGCGGGTCTCCTGTTTAACAACTTTAGTTTGTATCTCCAAACTGCTGGGCAGTCAAAGGGTTAAAAGGGATCAGGAAGGGGGCCTGATGCGCGTGGCGGGGTGCCTCGAAAGGGTTAAAATTATAAACGCATTAATCCCCCCTGACTGTTTGGTTCGAAATGAGCAGCAACTGGGGCCCGGAGAACCAGGGAGACCCCCCCCGCCCCCACAGAATGACTTTTCAAAATTCTAGAACTTTTAATTCCGACCAAAAAAAAAGTGCCCAGTTCGAAAGTTCTTTTAACCTTTTCTTTTTTCATTTATTTATTTTTTTTCTCGATTTCTCCTTGGGCCGGTTTATAAAACTCGCCCTCTCCTTTTGGGTTCGAGGAGCTAGGTTCCCCCCTCCGGGCAGCGCGCGGGGCGGGGGCCGAGGGGGCCCCGGGAGTTTTCTCCGGGGCCGGGTTGGGACGCGGCTGGTGAGTCCCGGCTCCGGCCCCTGAATTGGGGGGTCCGCGTCTGCCCCAAACGCCGCTTTCTTCCGTTTTCCATGTCATTTCCTGTACTAATAAGATGGTGGTCAAAGCAGGGGAGGAGAGCAGCAGCGAGTCGCCGCCGCCGCCGCCGCGCCGAGGCTGGCGCTGAAACTTTGCCTCGCCGGGGACCAGCGCGCCCACAGCGCGGCCGCTCCCGCCGCGGGGGCCGCCAGCCGGGGCCGCGCCGCCTCCGCCGAGCCGCCCGCCGGGCCGCCCGCGCCGCCCGAGCCCCGCGGCTGCCGCAGCATTCCCGGGAAGGTGAGTCAGCCCCGGTAGCCAATGTGGCCATTGAAAATGGCTTCGGAAAGCGCTCGGCAGTTTGCCAGCGAGCGCGGGGGCCGCGGGTGCAGGGGCTGCGAGCGGCTGCGGGGGGCGCGGGCGGCCGGGGGCCGGCGCGGGCGGTGCGGGGGGCCCGGGCGCGGGCTGGGGGGGGCAATTCGTCCCGGCCCCGAGGTGGGTTAACCCTCGGCAGGTAGCTGCCGCCGCCGCCGCCGCCGCCGCCGCTGCGGGATGCGGGGGCCGCCCCTCCGCCTCCTTCCTCCCCGCTCGCTCCTCGCTCGCTCGCCTTGTTACAATGTAGCCTTTTCTCTGCGCCGACGTTCCGCCCGCTGACGGACGTGTCCGCCGACCAATGGGAGCGGCGGCTCGGGCCGAGTGTTCGGAATGAGAACGCGGTGACACGGGCGGGGCGGAGCGCGGAATGCTGGAGGGCTCTCTGCAGCTGCTGGCCTAGTTCTCGGGGGCACTTTCGGCTTGGCGCCCGGGGCTGCTGTGGGGGGCTCGGGCCCTTCAGGAGGCGGTGGGGCCTATTCCAACACAGCCCGCGATTTCCCGCGAAACGTGGCCGAGCCGGAGGCCGTTTCTATAAGATATTTGAAGTCTTAGTTGCCGTGTAGACTCTTAGGGAAATCTCTCTGGAGTGTAGCCTCCATCCCCCACTCGCAATCCCCAAGGTGCTCTCTTATGCAGAAACTGCAGAAACTTGGCGGCCAGTGACCTTTCTCCGGTCAAGGCCAGCACGCCCTAGGCAAGTCGCTGCAAGGAGAATGAATTCACATTGCTTGAGCGTTGGGCGATGCAGGTTGAAAAGTTGCTTGTGTCTTGAACTGGGTTGGGCCCTAGGGGCTTGACCCCTGGGATGGGCTGGGACTTAGGAGAGAAAAATGTTAAATCTCCCTTCTTAGACGTTTGCTCCATGTGGAGAAAGGCTGTGGTATATAATTTAGAGTGGCTAAGAGGAAACACACCCAGTTCTTTGTGCGCGAGGACAGGACGCAATAATGAGAGATTGCTCTTGATGCCTGGAAACCCTATAAACTTAGGGGTTTTTGTCTGAGCTGGGGCGAAAGGATTTTCCGTGGAGCCGGGTGCCAGTGGCACCCAAGCTTGCCTTTGTCCACAGTACCCCTTTAGAGGAAGGGAGGTGGTGGGGGTGTGGGGTTGGTGGGCCGAGTCTGTAACAGGTTGCGGTGTCCTTATCTGTGGAGCGGGGGGCATGGTCTTCACCCACCAGCTCTCTGAGAGGTGGGCAGAGTTCTGTGTGGGCGCACATCTGAGAACCTGCTGGGAAGAGCCCCAGCTGGTTGCTTTAGTTTAATGAAAGGGGTTTCTCTGTTGGAGTCCTTCCCCCCTCCACCCTATAATAACTGTATGACTTTGGATTTGGCACGGTTACCTTTGACCTCTCTGAACCTTGTTTGTCCATCCGGAAAATGGGGCCAACAGAGCCTATCTGGCAAGGCAGCTGTGAGATTAAAGGCAATAGAGATAAAATGCCTAGTCCACGCTCCACACATGACATGATTTGAGAAGTGTTGTTCTCTGTGCGGGATTATTGCCGAACCTACGATCCTGGGACCATCAGAATTGCCCGGCGGGCCCCACCCAGGACCATCCAATTCCAAACTGACAGGGTCTCCAAGGAGCAGCTGCGGCAGATTTCTCTTCCCTAATGACATTCTCAAAGAGGAGGGGCTCCCCACCCTTGCCCCAAGAGTCCCGATCAGCCACAACCATCACTTACATCCAATATTGGCATGAGTTACAGTTCTGGCCTCCAGACCCCTTGGACTGATGTGCTTCATACATTTGTTCTCCTTGGTGTCAAGTAAGACTTCTGTCATCTGAATCTTTCCTCTCGGGGACTTGGATGCAGAGGCGGGGTTTCCCTGGTTCTAGGTCACTGGCAAGTGTGAAGGAAGTAAAGACTACTGGACTAGCAGTCAGGAGTCATACGTGTTTATTCAGCTGCCTGGTTGGCCTGTCCTCTTGGCTATCTCATAGTCATGACCAATGCATGGCATCCAAGGCTTTCCCTTGCCTCCTGTCTGTCCTCCAGGGCGGCGCTGTCTCTCCCCAGGACAACATTCCTGAGCCTTCCTAACTGTCCATCTGCTGCCTCCCCTCCATGCCAGTCTCCACCTCGCAGTCAGAGCGATCCGTTCCGAAAAAGATCAAATCAGGCCTCCCATTTCTTGCTTAAAACACTGAAAAGTCTTCCCAGTGCTTTTGGGATAAAGAACCAAATCGTCCACATGACCTAAAAACTCTGGAGCGATCTGGCTCTGCCCTTCCCTCGGCCTCATCTCGCACCCTCCTCCGGATCTCCCCGCACTCCAGGTTTTGTTCTCTCCTGCATGTGCCCGCCCTCCTTCTAGAATACTGAACCCGTTGTGATCTAATGAGTGGGTTGAGGTTGGCAAGGGCAAGGTGGAGTGGGAGAGTGTCTGGTGGTCCTTGATACTATCCCCTAAACATTTCCAGTTCACCCAGGCACAGGGTAGGATTGAATCTAAGGCTCCTTGTGCTTGGGTGGGGCCGTGTGGCTGGCGGGTGAGTTGTGAGCTACAGTGACACAAATTACTTTGGGCCAAAGCATCTAGTGGCTGGTGCAAGAGCCTGCAGAGTGCTCTTTTCCTGTGGGGTGGCAGCTAGCAGTAGGTGGGATGGTGGCTTTTTGCTAGCCAGGGTCCCTGGGTCGCTGTGTGGGACGGAGCCCCTTGATGCCCCACGACAGACATGCAGCTCGAGTGATAACTAAACCTTTGTTGTTTTCAACCACTGAGATTTGGGGGTTGTTTGTTACTACAGCATAACCTAGCCTGACCTGACCGATACGGGGACCAGAGGAGCATCCCAGGCAGAGACAAGTACACACACACAGAGACTCGGGAAGGCTCATCCTTAGCAGCCAGGGTGACCCGTTTGATAAACAAATGTGAGTCTATCAAACCCTGCCTGGAAAACTTTCAGGGACTCCCACTGCTGTTAGGAGAAAGATAGAAATCCTTTAGCTGCCCTCCAGCCCCTGTGGGGACCCCATTTTTCATCCCCCCCATACGCTATGTTTCACCTGACATGGCGCTTTCCTCACGTTGTCCCCTCGGTCCTGACTGTGTACCGCACTCCCCCTTCTTAGGCTTCCTCATCCTTCATCTTTCAGCTTCCGCCTCACCTCTTCGGGAAAGCCCTCCCTGATTAGGTCGAGCCCTCCATGACAGCCTCTCATGGCCCCATGTACCTCTCCTTTGCAGCACTTGTCTGTAGCGATTTTACAGTTGTGGGTGGGTGTGACTATTGACTGTGGTCCCCCTTTCATCAGACCAGGAGCTCTGCGGGGGCCGGGCTTGGGTTGGCTGCTCTATTTCCAGTGTCTGCACACAAGGGCTGCTTCTGAAGAGTCCCTGAGCATTGACTGCAGATTCACTGGGTGCCAGGGGTGAGGAACAGGATAAATGAACGCTGCTTCCCCGGGCATAAGGGCAGGTGGGTCCAGCTGGAAGGAGGCATTGGGCATGGCAGGCAAACTGGCCCACAGGGTACAGGTACCAAGCTCCCCATACTTACAGGCGTCCGTGCCCCAAAAGGACCATGTTTCTGGGAGGTCTGAGAGGACACCCCAGGAGGGCAAGAGTGTGAGATTTAACAAACCCTGAGGCTTCTGCTGATCTAGAGAGTATATGATTCAGTGAAGGGGCCGCCGAGTAGGAGATCCAGGGATGATGAAGATAATGATGATGAAGGCAGCGAATGTTTATTGAGGGCTAATTGTATCCCACGTGGAGTCCTAAGCATGTCTCTATGCAGAAAACCACTCCACAACGTATGTATTATTATTTTCATTTCACAGATGGGTAAACTGAGGCCCCAAAAGGTGGAGTAAAGGATCCAGGTTTACACAGGGGTATGGCCACAATTGGAACCCTGGCATTCTGATGCCACCTCCTTAAGGATGCCCTCTTAGAATGAGGGCAGAGAACCCCAGACCCACCAAGGAGACACCCCTTTGGAAATGTCACATGGGGTTATAAAACCCTTCTTGGGGGGTAAGTTCCCAGGAGGTAATACCCACCTACTATTGGGGTTTGTGCAAGCTGGTTTCTGGCTCAGAGCTGCTTGGTGGTCTTGGTGCCAGGGCTGGTCTAGAACCATCTGGTGCATCTCCACCCCTGCTGAGGCCTGAGAGTCCTTGGAGGCCCCAGAGCCCCATGTTCTCAGAGTGGGGCCTGGGAGAGGCTTCCCCGCAGCTGGCTCAGGGGCTGTGCCGGAAAAATAAGCCGTGCAGAAAGAAAAAAAAAAAAAAAACAATGAGGAAAAAAGAAAAATGTGCTGTTATTTTTAAAAAGCCTGTTTCCTATTGCAGATTTGTATCTGCGTTGGAAAGCCCAGTGTTCGCGCGGTGCAGCCACACTCGTGGTGGTGTCTCTGGCAGAGGCTCTGTAAGAGGGGAGGCCTGGGGCATCTTTCAGTCCTTCCTTTCTTCCTCACGTGGTTGGGGCTCTTGTGCTGTCCCTGTGCTGGGCACTGTGCTGGGCTCGAGGGCATATGGGGGACCCAGTCTCTGCCCCTACCAAACTCATGGACCAGCATGGGAGGTTAGGAGTTAGCCAGGCAGTTACAGATTCTAGCAAAAGGGTGCAAGGCAGATGGCCACCGACTCTAAGTCAAGGAAGGCTTCCTGGAGGAGGAGATGGCCTTAGAGCTGGGTTTTGAAGGGTGAGGAGACAACAAAGAAGGGAGAGGCATTCTAGTGTGGGGTATAGGTCGTTCAAAGGCCCGGGCACACAGAAGGGCTTGGAGAAGCTCAAGTAGTTCAGTTTCCCTTCCCATAAATGGGGACAGTAGTATCAGTCCTGTGCCACATTCTTTGGAAGAAAGTTTTTTCCTCCCTGTTCTCATGACCAAATTTAAGAGGAACACATATTGTGCCCCATGAGGTCCCTTCTACATCCATTTATGGATGGGGAAGCTCAAGCAAG